GCACAGAATTAGTAGAAAGCCCAGAAGTATGCATCTTTTGTTTATGTCTCCCTGAAAACGCCATAAGAAAAAAAATTGTTAAGTATGCCACTTGAACACAGCTTTGAGTCAGGAAAAACTCAGCATCAAGCAGATTCGGCAGCAAATATCTGTCTTATTTGCGAAGAAATTATGCTAAACACACAACCTTGTGTTATAACGCAATGTAATCACATTTTTCATAAGCATTGTTTGGAAACACATGTACCAGTACATAAAGAGTGTCCTTGCTGCTTAAAAGCAGTACAGCCAAAAGATTGGAAAGTAGTTGTAGGTAGCCATTCACCGAATGCAAGGAGCGCGGTCAACAACCCTCCAAAAAGAGTCGTTGCAACAGGTTCTCGTCCGTGTACTCGGTCGTTAGCACATCAACTAGAAGCAATTGCACAACCGGCACCAACGGAAGCCGAGGTTCTGGTCAGAGTTCATGACCAGTCAAATTTATCAAATTCAGAAAACCAACATCCACCAGGAAGTACGCCTACGAATCAAGAAGTTAGGGCAAGATCAGATCAAGTCGCCAACGCACCAGTTAGACGAGGTCGCCCTCCAAGGCAAAGAAGACAGAATAATCCGCCAGTAGCCAATAGTGTACCGTGAGCGGAGATAGAATCTATCGTTCGAGAAACAGTGACTCGGGTTTTGTCATCTATGTCAGGAAGTGGGAGCCGAGCACCGCCACCCGGACAAGTAGCTGAACATGCAAGCCCAGGTACACTTCGAAGTTATAGGTCCGCAAATGGTATGCATATGCATACTCTTGGTCCACATAAAATCGCAGATGTTCTTCAGAAATGGGGAGTAAGGTTTGATGGAACAGTAGAGGGATTATCGGTAGAGGAATTTCTATACCGAGTGAAGATTTTGACAGTTGAACATTTTGACGGTGATCTAGAAATTATCAGCAGAAATATTCATCATCTTTTAATTGGTAAAGCTAGTAGTTGGTTCTGGAGATACCATAAAAGGGTTCAAACATTCAACTGGAGAGAATTTTGCGCTGCTTTTCGAGAACAATATCGTGAGAGCAGAACAGCAACAGAGTTACGTGAACAAATTCGCTCCCGGAAGCAAAAGCCAGGAGAGTCGTTCGATACGTTTTATGAGAGTGTTTGTAAGCTCATGGATAGACTATCAGTGAGTTTTGCAGAAGACGAGCTAGTAGAGATGATACAAGGAAATCTATTGATCGACATGAATGAGAGATTGTTATTTGAAAACATTTCATCTATTTCCGAGTTACGAAGGTTGGTTCATAAGCAGGCCGAGTGCGGCCACCACAAACTAAGCCCGGACCATATCGCGTATACGCGGTGGAGGACAACCAACTCAGTGAGACTCAGGAATGTGAGGATGATAACGAAATTGCAGCAATTCAACGCACAACTCCTTTGTTGTGTTGGAACTGTGAGGCTCCCGGTCACATATGGGAAAATTGCTTGGCCGAGAGACGTATTTTTTGTTATGGTTGCGGAGCCCCGCAAATATATACACCCAATTGCCAAAACTGCAAGCGAAAGGCGGAAAACCGGCAAGGGGGGGCATCCAATCCAGGAAGGGTGTCCCAGAAGTAGAAGATAGCTCAAGAACAGATGTTGAAAAGCTTCGCATCTTAGAAAATAAGTTAGATCAAAAGTCGAATCCTGAAGTTAATATATTATTTAAGCCCTATCATGAGAGGTTAAGAAACTATTATCTAGTAAGAGAACGAATTTTTGCTGGACTCGTGAAAAAGAGTAGACGGAATACCCTCAGGATGCGAAATTACTATCGTTCGTTAAAAAAAGAAGAAAACTATGATTGTGTCAACTGTGTTTCAAAACAACATTGATCGTCGTAGTTATGCCAGCGTAGCATTCTTGGATTTTTCTGAACTAGGTTTGCTTGATACGGGGGCCAACATAAGTTGTATTGGTTCATCCCTAGCGCTTACGGACTTTTCAAAGTATCCCAATTTTAAGGCAATTTTGTCTCAAGTCCGAACCGCTGACGCCAAGTCTCACCAAGTTCTAGGAAGTCTCAAAGTAAAAATGCAGTATCAAAATAAAGAGAAAGAGGTAGAACTATTCATAATCCCGTCTATAGCCCAGAGGTTAATATTAGGTATAGATTTCTGGCGAGCTTTTGAATTAGCTCCTGGGATCATTAGTTCTATATTGAATGAGGAAATAGAAGTAAGTGAAGAGGAGGAAAAATACCCATTAACAGTAAAAGAAAAACAGCAACTTGAGGCTGTTAAAGAGTTATTTCCGAATTTTGAAAAACAAGGATTAGGTCGCACTGTCCTGATTAAGCATAGTATCGACATAGGAGAAAACAAGCCTGTGAAACAGCGTTATTATCCGGTGAGCCCAGCTGTCGAAAAGCTTATGTATACGGAAATTGACCGCATGCTTAGCCTCGGAGTGATCGAACCTTCGCAAAGTGCGTGGAGTTCTCCAATGCGGCTGGTGGTAAAGCCAAACAAAGTTCGTTTATGCCTTGACGCACGGAAACTGAACGATGCTACTAAAAAAGATGCTTACCCACTGCAAAGCATCGAAGGCATATTTGCTCGTTTGCCAAAAGCAAATATGATTTCGAAACTGGATCTTAAAGATGCCTACTGGCAAATCGAGTTGACAGAGGAAGCGAAACCATTGACTGCATTTACAGTTCCAGGTCGAGCATTATATCAGTTTACGGTCATGCCTTTTGGCTTATGTAATGCTCCCTCGACGATGTCCCGGCTAATGGATGACTTAATTCCGCCAGATTTACGTCATTGCGTTTTCGGATATCTCGACGACCTATGCATTGTCTCAGAAGATTTTGCGTCACATTTAGCAGTTCTAGTGCGTATTGCAGATCAATTCAAAAAAGCTAACCTAACTCTAAACATAAAGAAAAGTCACTTTTCTGTTACTAAGGTGAATTATCTAGGGTATGTGATCGGAAGTGGTGGAATAGCCACTGATCCGGAAAAAATATCCTGTGTAATTAACTGGCCAACACCGAAAAATTTGAAAAAAGTGAGACGTTTTCTGGGTGTATGCGGTTGGTACAGGCGATTTATAAAAGACTTTGCAGAAATCACCTGTCCTATTACAGAAGTCTTAAAAACAAGAAAATGTTTTAAGTGGTCTCCGGAAGCCCAGGACGCCATGGAGAAATTGAAACAGTTGCTAACGTCAGCGCCTGTGTTACAAAATGCGGATTTTTCCCGTAAATTTTTTGTACACTGTGATGCTAGTGATTACGGCATTGGTGCTGTGTTGGTACAAGTATCTGATAGCGGAGAGGGAAGACCATTGGCATTTATGTCCAAAAAACTCTCGAAATCGCAAAGAAACTATAGTGTAACGGAACGCGAATGTCTGGCAGTGATATTAGCGATCGAAAAATTCCGGTGCTATTTAGAATTACAGCCATTTGAAGTAGTGACAGATCACTCAAGCCTTCTCTGGCTTATGCGACAGCAGAATGTATCTGGCAGATTAGCCCGTTGGATTTTTTAGATTGCAAGCTTTTAAATTCACTATTTCACATCGTAAAGGGAAAGATCATATTGCTCCAGATGCGTTATCTCGCATTTGTGACCCAGAAATCGATAGTGTGGAATGGATAGGTCCCGAAATTGATTTAGAATCGTCATCCTTCCTAGACCCTGATTACATCCAGCTCAAGGAAACAATAGAAGCAAATAGAGAAAAGTTCCCGGATCTGCGAACGGCAGACCGATTTGTGTACATTCGCACCGAACACCCCTCCGGAAATGCAGCCCAGGACTCGGACTGTTGGAAGTTGTGGGTGCCGGAGGCAATACGAGTAGAGGCGATCCGCCAAGCGCATGACTGCGTTATATCTGCGCACGGGGGAATGCAGAAAACAATTGAACGTTTGCGAAGACACTTGTTTTGGCCAGGTTTGTCCAAACAAGTTCGAGAATACGTTCGCGAGTGCGATGTTTGCAAAGAGACTAAAGCCCCGAACACAACATTACGGCCTCCCATGGGTCAACAAAGTGTTTCGTGCAGGCCGTTTCAAAAACTGTATGTTGACATATTAGGTCCTTACCCGCGAAGCAAGAAAGGTCACATAGGGTTACTTATTGTCCTTGATCACTTCAGTCGTTACCATTGGTTGTGTCCACTAAAAAAATTTACATCTTCCGCGATAATAGATTTTCTGCGAAATCGAATTTTTGCTGAATTTGGAACACCCGAGATCCTCGTAAGCGACAATGGATCTCAATTCAAGTCTAATGAGTTTGAAGCCTTTTTAACTAAGTTTGGAATCAAGCATACGCTTACCGCGTTATATTCTCCTCAGAGCAACGCGGCGGAGAGGGTAAATCGCTCCTTATTGGCTGCGATACGATCCTATCTGCGAGCAGATCAAACCGAATGGGATTCTAATTTAACTAGCATTTCCTCGGCATTGCGATCCTCGCTGCACCAAGCCCTTGGCTGTTCACCTTACAAGGCTTTGTTTGGTTTCAATATGGTAAATCATGGAAGTGATTATAAGTTGTTGAGAAAGCTATCTCTCTTGGAAGAATCTCCGCTTTTGAATTGTCAGGATAAACTTCATTGGTTACGAGAGGAGATTAAGCAAAATAGCCGCACGGCTTATGAGCGTAATGCGACGCAATACAACTTGCGATCCAGGCCAGTCTCGTACAAAGAAGGCCAAGAGGTGTTTAAACGCAACTTTTACCTGAGTAATTTCTCTAAGAATTTCAATAAGAAATTAGGGCCGCAGTTTTCAAAATGTCGAGTGAAGAAAAAAGTAGGAACAGCTTATTACTTGCTCGAAACATTACAAGGCAAAGAAATCGGTACATATCACGCCAAGGATCTTCGAAGCTAATTCCAGCTAATCGTGCCTCGGAGCCTCGTTAGATTATCTGGTGGTGTAATGGACCCATATAAAAACTTTTTAGTATTTTTTTTTAAATTAAAATGATCCGCGCCTAAAAATAGTAGCGATAATTAGTATCGACCTCTTATCTGGCAACGTCTTAAAAATGACAGTTGAAACCACCAGCTGGTGAATACCGAAGTGCAAATCGGTGAAGGGTTCTTCGGGTCTCCAGCTTCTGGCTTCGATCTTTTCTATTGGAGTCGTCAAGCTGAGAAGTTGGTCCCGAACCCAGCTGGGAAAATATACAAGTGAGCATATGCACATGTGCTCCGGACCCTAATCCCACTGCTATTTCGGCATCGGTTGAAAAAGGCCATCAACAAACGCCAATCTACCGGCTGCCAAAGATTGCCGTGTCGGCAAGGTAAATATTTTTTATAAAAAAAAATGTCCAAGCCGATCGACATATAATAATATTTTCTTTGCACGTGTAGGTCACGCTTATTTTCTTCGACTACACGGCGAGAAATCGCTAGGTCGATTGAGCAGAAAAAAATACAAGAAAAGGAAGCACTGGGTAAATATTTCTAAAAATATTCCTGGGCTCGTTTGCACAACGTTAATTATTTTAATTCCTGTAGATAAACGAGGCAGCAAAACAGGCGGCTGGAACAGCTATCTCTGCTGGGGAAAATTTATTTGGAGTTCGCAGCAGCTTGGAGCAGAGAAAAACCCACAAAAAGTGACCCAAAAATAAACGTGTGAAACACAGTGCAGATTTAAAAAAAATTAAAAATTAAAAACCCTTAAAATCTAGTGACAAATTAAAAGTTAACGAAGACGAGGAAATGGGTTAAAACAACTCATTAAATACACGACTAGTAAAAATGTAAAATCTTAAGAAAAAACCCGACCTCAAAACAGAAAAAAAAAAAAATGCAGAATAGTGTAAATACATATATATAAATCTTTTTTTTTATTAAATACCAATAGAGTTAAACCCTCTCGAAACATCATCATTATTGCCAAATTATGAAATGAATTATTATTGAAGTGCCCCAAATCGGATAAGAAATAAAATTTAAAATAGGCATGTAAAAGGTGTTAAAATAAAAACCATGACAGTGATGGTGATGGTGATGCATATGAGCAGGCAATATGCTAGGAAAAAAAAACAAGAGCGTGAGCTTAGCAAATCCAACTAAAATCGTACAGTGCAATAAAAAGTTTCGTTGCCAGTAAGAATACAAAAAACAAATTAAAACGTAACTAAACACAGTAAAATAAAATAAATAATATGTAGCTGTATAATTAATATCAAATATGAAAACGTAACTAAAAAATCATGCGGCTATATTTTTAAATTTTAATTTTCCCCTAATACACTCCAAAACAGCATCGACAAGAAGGCCTTCTTCGAGAACAACAAAGTGGGTGAGTGAAAACAGACAACAACTTATGTCGCCCAGTGTAAAGGCTGATTACCGGCATTAATGCTTATCAGCATCGATTGATTTTTGTTATTTTTCCAATTCCTCTTTTTTATTCTGATTCATGTTATCCTCGTAAATTTAAAGCATTTAAATGTAAAGCCAAAACATGCGCTACACTGAGAAAATTAAAAACTAATTATTTTGTTATTTTGCATATACATATTTTCTTTTTTCAGCAATAAAAACTGTTTTATTGTAATTGTGCGATGTAGGTTGTTGAAGCTAAACAAAAAAAATAGAATAACAATAAAGAAAATTATGTAGGCCCAAAAAGAAACAAAAAAAAAAAAAAAAATAAATAAAAGAAAACAATTAAATGGACATAGTTATATTTTCATAATTAATAATTTTATAGCATCATAATTAGGCACCACCTTACCATTATCATTGTTTTAAACGAAACAAAATAGAATTAAAAATGACACTGGAAAAAATTTAAATGATTAAATAAATAATTATATTAACATAAGTAAATAAAATAGGCTATGTAATGATAGGGTTTAATAATTAATAAATAAATAAATTAGTCATTGAAATCTAGCAGACATGTATGAAGAAAAATAATTATATTAGGACTTCGTTTATTATTGTTAATTGGAGATATGTACACTGAAAAATATGGAAAAGGAATTTTTGTTTGATTATTAAAAATTATTATAATGATGATGAATTTTTAAGTTTTCTTACTTATGGCATGGGAGACTAACAAACTGATGTATACGTAAATACTTTTGGGGTCTGTCGCTAACGATTACAAGAAGGACCATGGTTGGGAGGGTAAAGATATAGGGTGTGGCGAACAACAGCCAAGGCCACCCCGGCAGGCTCAAACACTAATTCGTGCTTTCTCGTTTCTCAATTTTTTTTCTCGCAGTTTAGTTTTGCCTTGTTTCATATTTTACTAATTATGAGACAATTGTTTTGTGTGTTGGTTTCGAATGAGGATCGTCTCATAGTGTAGATTCAGGAGGGACTCTATAATAAAACCTTTGACGTAACAATCCTTATCCGCAGCAAAAAACCCCCACATCTCCCGCTAGAGCTAGGAATCAATGGGTCCCGCTCAGCTGATGGTTAAGGGTCGACAAGCCTGAATGTGGTTAACACTCGGAGGTATGATCGAGAACAACGATACCCTGTTTATGTTTTCCCCTTTCAACGGCGAAATTACGTCACAATACTCAATTGTAAATTTGTAAACAAAAAGTTCACAACTCAGCTAATAATGCCTGAATCCACTTCAGAATTTATATTTATATTAGTTTTTACACGTCTAATACATTTGCATACTCAGCTAATAATGTCTGTATCCACTTCAGAATTTGTATTTATATTAGTTTTTACACGACTAATACATTTGCATACTCAATTGTAAATTTGTAAACAAAAAGTTCACAGCTCAGATAATAATGCATATATCCACGGCAGAATTTATATAAATTAATTCTTACAATTCTAATACATTTGCATACTCAATTGTAAATTTGTAAACAAAAAGTTCACAACTCAGCTAATAAGGCATGTATCCACGGCATAATTTGTTCTTATATTAGTTTTTACACGGCTTATACATTTTCATACTCAATTGTAAATTTGTAAACAAAAAGTTCACAACTCAGCTAATAATGCCTGAACCCACTTCAGAATTCATATTTATATTAGTTTTTACACGTCTAATACATTTGCATACTTAATTGTAAATTTGTAAACAAAAAGTTCACAACTCCGCTAATAATGCATGTATCCACGGCAGAATTTGTACTTAGATTAGTTTTTAGAAGGCTAATACATTTGCTAACTCAATTGTAAATTTGTAAACAAAAAGTTCACAACTCAGCTAATAATGCATGAATCCACGGCAGAATTTGTACTTATATTAGTTTTTATACGGCTTATACATTTGCATACTCAATTGTAAATTTGTAAACAAAAAGTTCACAACTCAGCTAATAATGCATATATCAACTTTAGAATTTATATTATAATGATTTTACTTCTGGTACGGCTGTAAAGTGTCTTCGGGTTCAGCCTCGGCTGGAAAGGGAATCGGGTTTTCGTGCACTATACTGCGCTCTGCGCTCAGCTCGCCGGTATTGGGGTCGGGGTCCTTCCTATCCCTATAACTTCCTTGTGCTCACCAGTCATATATAAAAAGATAAGTGCACTTGACTGAAACTACGTTACAATGAATAAAAACAAACAAGAGAATTGCATCAGATGGTATCCCCAAACGGTGTAAACGATGACAGTGAACTTGGTGAACGTTGTCCTTTGGGAGTGATCGAGAAGTTATGATCACTCGTTCCTCTATACCCTCCCTACCTTTGGAAATGTGTGGAACATTGTTTACATTCCCCCCTAAAATAATGAAATTAACGCATTACTCTTGATATTTCAACGGCATTATGTACTAGGACAGTTCTTATTTATTTACAAAATCATATCAACTTATTCCTATCAATATATTTCAAACAAAATAACTAAAGTCTCCATATCGATCGAATCTCAATCTTAAATCATCATTTTTAAACTAATAAGCTCTCCTTAAACGCGAAAGTCTCTTAATTTCTACATTTGATTACGAATTAGGGTTTTATATCTCTATATTTAATCGCTAGCAACAATCCATATCGATCATCTTATTTAGAAATACGAATCAAACGATCCCTCTCTAAATATACTGTAGATACCAAATTATTAACCAAATACCATTATGATTTGTTACCTCATTGTTGTCGCCGAGAAGCTCGTTGGGCCCAATGAACCGCTACATGGCTGTAAGTCAATGGTTAGTTATATCATGGATAATTATATATATAAATGTCAGTGTAGTTGCGAAGAAGATATCAATAACGTATTTTAAATTAAAATATAGGTTAAGAAAGGGTATTTGCAGGCATATCTAGAACCAGGTTCGCCTCATATCTATAGTCGATCGTATTTAAACAAAACTAGAACTAAATTTTTAACGCTTCATTTCAAGATTTTTCTTTTCAATTAACTTTCAATTATTGTTCAATTATTCAGTTTCAATTATCATCAATAATTCTTCATTTCAATTTCAATTTCTATTCGACAAGATCGTGTTCAATTAATTCTAAGTTCAATCGAACTTCTTTCAACTTCAATTCTCGTTCAATTCGCTCGGTGCCTTTTCGACTTAAAACTACGTTGAATAGATATATATAGGTGGATAACTACATGGCTACGTCTTCATTTAATAATGCTCAAACTAATGTTAATAAAAATACAAATCTAATTGAACGTTGGTTCTTATGCAGCTCCAGCCATCAGCAGCAGCGGCATCGGGTGTTTCGGTTCTCTTTCTGTTTCTTTCACGTTCTCGTTCTGAGGCACCCTATATCCGCGACATATGTAGCTGTACTCACGCCGATTGTCGTAGGTCAGTTTTCTTTTCTTCTATTACCCAGCGTGTTCTTCCTTCTCTGTGTGTTTCTCTTCTCGTTTGCTATACACGTCTGTGCGCCGGTACACTGAAGAAAACTCGTGGCGAACTACAGTTAGCGGTCCCAATCGCATTGCCCATGCATACGTTTATGCATATGTATGCACGTAGCAAAAATGCCTATGCCGCGTGTGTGTGTGTATGTAGGTGTACACCGCGTGGCGTGGCTGTACTTAGGCAAACGAAGGGAACCAATAGTACCTTGAATTTGGGTAAAAACTAGAGGTCAGTTGCTGCCTAAACAAGCACTTTTCTGGGTTTTATTTACCTTGTTCTGAATTTTGCTCAATTTATTATATTTTCTCCGACGATCCCAGAGCTGCGGTTTTCGCACTCTCTCGCTCCTTCGACGCACTCTCAACACACACAGCCACTGACCTATCTCAATCCTCGCATTCGATTAATTTTGCTTGTAGAATACACTTTTGTTGGTCTGAGAAGGTTTTATAATTGTTTAAACACGGCACGTGGGTTTTTAATTCACGTTTTCACTGGATTTAGAGCAATTACGTCTGTCGTCTCGAAGTGGAAAAATTTGAATGATCGCGTGGTCGCTGAAACTTTTGCCAAGGCGCAAGTCGAGCGAGCTTTAACGGGACCTTTCCAGGCAAAGAATGCGACAACTGAGGTGCGAAAGGGACCACTAGATTGCGTAGCGTCTCCTTCTGAAAGCTTGTACGAGCTTTTTATTAACCCCAGTATGCCGAACAGTGGTTTTGTTTGTGTTCGAACAGAATTTAATAATTTGTATTAAT